TGATAGTGTCTTCTTTTTTTTTGCCAATTCATCATTTGATGGTAATTGATTTATTACGTAGCAAAAAACACTCTATATATATTCTCATAAGCCAGTAAAAATATCTAATCAATTTAGAAAGATGAAAATCTTATTGTATTTAATATCATTTATTCTCTGGTATTATAAAGGATATTGTAAACAACCATATTTTCCTCGTCAAGTTGTTTTTTCCATTGGTAATGATACAACAATAATTGCAATTGATGAAATAAATCAACGTGCTTATCAATCAATTAAATATAGTTTTGATCCAACACCACAAATAAGTTATGCTTTGCAACATTTTCCATATGCAATTCCTGGTTCTCCTCAATCAAAATATTATGTACAGTTAGTATTAGGTGATACATCAATCACATCTTGTGAATATACAACATATTGGAAATATGGTGGATATTATTTGAATGTATTTCCATCACATTGGCTTAATGGAAGTTCATTTGAAATAAAAAATTATCTTAATTTTACTTATAAAATGATACATTCAAATAATTCTTCTTTAGATGAAGATTATTGGTATACAAGTGAAAAATGTGAAATTGAGGATGGAAGTGAACCTCCATGTCAAGAAATTTTTTTCAAAAAAAATACAGAAATTCCTCTACGATTAACTCAAGTTGTTTATCGAGGATTTAGATTTATACAAACAACAATAAATTATAATATAATATCAATTGGAAAACCAGATGATAAATATTTTAATTCAATTCCAAAAAATTGGCCTACCACTTGTGAAGATGTTGATCTTGGTCTTTCATATTATCCACAATCTGCAACAATTAAATTAAATAAAAGTGCAGAATTTCATGTTTCTCTTTCTACTCCACCACATCGAATTGTTGGAAATGGTACTGTTCTTGTTCAATGGAATACAACTCAATGTATTGATTGTTTTACATTATCACCAAAAGAATTTACTTTTAATATTAATAATTTTCAAAAAAATCAAATATTAACAATAACTCGTATTAAAAATTCATCTGGATCAGTTATTATTCCCATTTTATATGGTGAAGGTTATGAATTTATTCCACCAGAAAGATTTCAAATTTATATTGATTAAATTTTCTTCCTTTTTTTTTTCTTCTATTACATCAAAATATAATAAAATCAAAGCATTGTAAAAGATATCATTGTCTAACAAGAATTGATTCAAATTTAAGATGAGAAGAAAAAAAACTAAATAAACTCATTAGTATATTTTAATAACAAAGCTGAGTAAACTACGGACAGGAAACAATTGAAATTAGAGTTTTTTTGAATTTCAAAATCATCAAAAAATATCTGACCTAAACTATTTCACTCTTATTTCATGTTTTGAATAATGAAGATTAAAAAAAATTTCTGATTTTTTTTTTCCTGATTGATTTGTTCTGACGGATACTTAGGAAATACATTTAAAAATGAGTTTAGAATCATTAGCCAATGAATTATTACTTTATCTGTTCAAATATCTTTGCATCGATCATCTTATTCATGCATTTCATGGCAGAGTTGTAACCGGTCGAGAATTTTGGAACCGGTCCGGTCCCAAAAGTTTTTCAGACCGGTAAAAACCGGCTGGTTTGTCAGATCCCTTCTTAATCGGTTGAAAGAAGTCACTTCCAAACCATTCATTTTTTTTTATTTTCGCTTCTATTTTAGGAATCTTTAAGAGAAAATATCATGTCATAGCCGTTTGTTTTAAAGTTTCTTAGTGATGAATATGGAATGTTTCTCTGCCCGCGAAAAAGAGTCAGTTTACCCGACAACTGATTGCTAAACTACAAATTTTGAAGTTTTTCACTCAAATTTTACTAAAAAACGAAATGTTTCTCTTAGAACGAGGATTCAAACTCAAATCTGGTCCCTAACAAAACATCATCCACATAAGTTGAGAATTTCATCTCAAGTAACACAGTTTTGATTGCGCTTTTCACAAAGCGAAATACAGTTTGATTAAAAAATATAAAAGTACAGACGAACAGAAGAAGTTAAAATTGATAAATTCTGAACAATATTGCTTGATTATCTAGATAAATGAATTCAAACTTGCTTTCGGCAGGTTTTATCAAAGAAAAATCGCATATCTAAAAAAGTCTTTTAAACCGGTAAAAACCGATGTAAACCGACCGGTTACAACTCTGTTTCATGGTCTTAACTGCCGGTTTAATTCTCTTGTTTCTTATAATTTTTTCATGTATGATATCGATTCTTGATCATTGCATGTCAATGATTTTGTTAGAATCTGTCAAGAATATCTTCTATCTTGGATTGATAATTTATCTTCACTGTATTTATCAAGTCAAAGTTCTTCTCAACCACTTCAATTTAGTGATCATTCAGAAAAGTAGTTTCGGGGAAAAGTCATATTAAGATTATTTCACTTAATTAATCTTACTTACTTGACCCTCAACCATTGTTTTTTGACTGTTGATAAGTCAGAGGATCTTTCAATGAACCATTCATTTATAAGCTATATATGGAATCTATCGAATCTCACCCATTATTCTTTTAACGCTACTACTTGGCATCAATTAGGTTATGGAGACTTCATAGAGCCCACTGTGATATCACCAAGTATTATACATCTATGTATATGACATCTAGATTCATACTCTTTTAACTGTGATCGACTATGTACAAATACACCAAATCTTTAACACCTCTCCATATCTTTTTCCTACGATTGTTCTATTGATTTGTTAACGTCATATGTTCTATCAATAGCTTCTTTCGAGCTGTCGCCAAGTGATGATGAATACGATTTACCTAACATATTACAATGGATGTCTAATTTATGTCAATTGAAAGTGAATATGAATGGGAAAACATAATTTCTAATCATTTACATAAACTAAAAAGATTCTATGTTAAAATATCAAGTTACTTTGAAGCAGATGTCATGATCAACGAACAAGTGAATGAATTACTCAATATATTTCAAATTCCATTTTGACTTGATCAGCATGGTTGGTTTGTCCGATCTTAGTGGAATCCGACTATGTCAAGTTTTAATCTCTATACTTTCCTATATGCCTTTTAGCAATATCTGTGTAAAGTATCCGTTACTTTTCAAATCCACTTGTCTTCAAAATAACAATCAATAGACATATGATGCTGTACGTTGTTGAAAATAAGATGATCACACTGGTAAATGCTCACAACAATTTGATATTTAACTCTACAAATTAGAAAAACTGAATGTACTATTTTCTGTCGATGAGCACTTCTGGTCAATGGTTCCAACATTCAATCATTTAATTTCATGCAAAATAAAATATATGTTGATTCAGTCTCAATAAATAGATTTTCATTTACATGTGAAGTTCAAGATATATGTATATTTGAGAAATATGAATGGGATCATAATCATTCTAGAGGAGGCGGAACGATTTTCATTGAGAGGAGGCTCGAAATCCCTCAGATGATCATGGAAGGGTGAGATGAAGGGAATGAGGAATGTTCTAGTTTTTGAAACTCTAACTCTTAATAAAGAGAAATTGGATGTCCCGACATGTTTTCAGCATAGTTATTTACCATTTATCTCTGCACGAACAAATAATATAATATTGAAATCTTTTTTAAAAGATGCACCACTAACAATGAGGATCTTCCAAGATTTAATTTTTTACTATTTACTAAATTCATTGAAATCAGGAATTTATCTATTTCGTAGTATGAGAGAAGGTTTTAGCATACTAAAAGACCTACACAGTTCCGAAGAGTGAGTTCTCACTTTCAGATGACTATCTTTCGAACTCTTGTTCGCTCTCCTTTAGTCATACAACAGCCTTTGTCTTAATTCCTTTCATGCAGTGATGCAGTAAATCTCGGGAATATAAAAAAAATCAAGGACCTCAAACCTCAGAGGGAATGAAGGGTGGAAAGCATACTTCTGCCTTCAGAAACGTCGATAGTAGATAGTTTTTTGGGCTGTGGGTGGGTGAAAAGAAGACAACACTCACACCCACTAATATCATCTGTCAATAGAATATTTTCTTTTACCTGATCAACTGTATCAAAAAACATGTTGCCGAGTGCTCCATTGTCTACTAGTCAAATAATATTAGCAGTGTTAAAACCAAGTGTATTCGTTTGAAAAGAAAATTCCTGTAATAGATGTTCATCTCTTGACATGATTAGACATTTTTAATAATGATATCGATCTTTGGCCCAACATTTTCGACGACATGATAAATATAGAAGATAATGATTGTAACGATCCATTTCTTCTTGCTCATCCGCATCAAATATGAAAACAGATATGGTTAAATAAACTACCGTTTGAACCCGTACTATTTCTTGCATTTCAAAAAACTCATCAGCTAAATTATTCGCTAAAATACTTTGAACATGTGTAAATTCATGTTCACGTATGAGATAAAATATTGCAAAATCAACATCTTCGAATGGATAAAAATCAACATGTGAATATGTACGAAGTAATGTGTAAGTTGTATTTGTATTATTCTCTTGTTGAAGATTTGGATCAATCCAAATAACTAATTGGTGAAGAATAACATTTGAATTAATGTCACAATTATGTTTCAATCTTGTCATTGCTTCGTCTAAATATCAATTTGAATGATGTGATCCAATATTTCGATACTGCTTTATTGTCGAATTATGGTCTGAACACTGTGTCCATTAAACTGAAATGTTATGCATAAGCTGATCTCATTAATATCTTATAATCTATAGATTCCTATCACCGAATAAAATATTGACTCAAAAGTGTTCAATCGTTCCGAGATTATTCATCGTTAGATAAGTGAAGAGTCAAATAGTTTCGCTTAAACTTTTACAATAGACTGAATTAACAACAGCATATTAAAGAATGAAATGTTTCAATTTAGAAAGCACAATAAACTTTGATTAAAGTTTCAAATTATAAATTTTTGTTTTCTTTCTCTGTGACAAATCACAAATGACTCAGGATAAAAATTTCTGATATACTTTTTTTGAAAGTTTTTGTTGACCCATCCTTACCGCTAACACTATTCAAATAGTTTTCTAATTTATCTTATACCTTCAATGACACTTTATTTGGAAAATGTCTTACTTACTCCATGGATGATTTTTTTCGTCAACTTTCTTTCGTAATATTGGCTTCATAATTAGGCGCATAAATGCTGCACTACGAACAACATCAATCAATTCCAATGAATCATGTTCTGATGACGTTTTAATAGATAAATTCAATTTTGAATTCAATAAATTTTTGAAAAAATAAGCCTGACATTGATAAATAAGATACTCTAGTAACGAGCCAATGTTTCTGCTAGATAGGAAAACACATCTCAAACCATTGAATTTCTCTAGAATTTTCATCTGCTTTGATCAAAATGTAGAGCTAAACGTCTTTCAATATCAGCCATTATTTTGTTGGATTCATCATTCAGAGTTTCTTGATAAACGAGAGTTAATCTTGCTTCTAATTTTTCAGCTACTGATGTAAGATCAGGTAATTTACTAAGACAATGCAAACTGGCAAGTATCATCGAATGATTCATTGGTTGATTTCATTCACTAATTGACAAAGATAGTCTTTTGTTTCATATTCATGAATTATTTGCTAGTTCGAGATCGATATTACAAAGATTTGATATGTTTTGAACTGGATTAAGCAATGTTATAGATAGATTTTGTGATGAATCACATAGAAATGATAAAGTTTTACGGCAGAGATCAGTCGCTTCTTTCAATTCTATTCTGTTGTATCAAGACTAGTACAATATCGAGTTGGATACGATCAATAAAAGAATCTTCGATAGATCGATGATTTCTCTTGTTCAAATCATATGCATTCAAAAGAAATTTTTCAACATCGACGAGTTTATTATAACGTAGAACTATTCGACCTAATGTTGCTAATTTATGTATTTCAATTTCTTTATTATCTGGTTCGAGATAATCATAATAGAGGAAATAATTCATTGCAGATCGAATACAATTCATATCGACAAGTCATAAACCAATAAGAATATTTCGATTGATATATTCACCAACTTGAAATTTGAGATAAATATAACTATTAATAAACACTCCAACAATATTATAGTTTGAGAAGAAGAAAATAAT